AGTAATCTTTGACAGCAGCATAGTTACACTGAAACGAAACTTGCGTTTAAATGTAACATTGAAAATTTGTCTCGTTGTCAAATACCAAGTCATGACCAGTTCACAATTCAGTTTTGTTACTATTAATGTAAAATGCATGTTTATTTTTACATGCACAATGCTGACATCAGCAACAATGAAAGCATTTATTATGTTTCGATTGAATATTTGACTTCATTTTACAAGTCATTTCAAGCTACTCACTTTTTACAAGTTATTACACATTAATCTATTTACTCTCTATTCTAAAATTATTACAAGTTAATTTGTTTACTCTTTCTTCTAAAGTTATTACAAGTTACTTTTATTATATTGCAAGTTACTCGTATTATTATTATGATAATAATTGATCATCGCTGATACTCGTTTAAAGTAATACCCTCAAGTCAGATGTGTGGCATTCAATTAATTATTACCTTAGTTACCCTCGCTTGTTTCAGGCATTTCATGTGTCCGTGTCTCCTCACACTCAAAGAAATTAGTGATGAATAATTGTGTCCTAGTAGTGACACACTTACAGCGGTCATTCTGACCCAGTTTGGTCCACCAAAAAGCCGGAGCAGTGCTACGTTTGGTCTCATCTGGGGGCTTTGAGTTAGTATGTGTTTCACTATTTGGACAATTTTACCCATTAATTTTTATAGTGGATGAAGTTGTCCCAAAAGCTTGTTGATTACATTCATTTTTCTTGTACCATTCGTGGTACAATATTCGAGTCGTAAGAATATTATACGAAGCACGTGGAAAACAAATGGGGAAAAAAAAAACAAGTAACTTTGACCTGCCGTGGAGAACTTGACCTTCTAGAGAGAACACACCATCTGTGTGATGATCACACAGAGCATATGTGTAATGACCACACATCTGGGTGATGATCACAGACCATCTGTGTGATGACCACACAACATCTGTGGCAACTTGAACCTTTCTATAAGTAATGATATCATCTGACCCCGCCTATTTAAAGCTTGTAATCAAGATATTAATTGTATCTAACAAGTCTTAATTACTGATGCTAAAGCCTAGCGAGCGTCCTACCTATTTTAATTAAGCTTGTGTTAAAAATCGTGGTTATTTATTATTATTCTGGTTGTCACTAGAGAAAAAATCACAGGTAATAAATTTTTTCACAGATTTTTGTTGCACTACAGGTTTTTTCTTCCGCTGTTCCTGTAATAAGCTTGTATTTACGGTGCCAAGTACAATAAGTTATTAAGTATTCTGAGTGAAAGCCAATGTTACAATAAGTTCTGCTTACATCTTCAGTGTATATTGGAAGAAATTTTGAAGCTTCAACAAAGACAATAGTTATGAGTTCGTCGTTACTTTAAATATCCTTCCATAGCAATACGCTCGAATGGGCTCGACTATTTCAAAATCTGATAGGAATAGTATTACTGATACGCGAGGGATTTGCGATCTGGTAGAAATAGCATTGCAAATGACGAGGGGAATAATCCTATGTTTAGAGTGAATTGTTTAAGAATATGCACCGTAACATTAAAACATTAAATGTTATTATAGTGAATTCTTTATTTGAGGATAAATGATAATATTGCGAACTCGTAGACATATACTCACTATGCATTGCCATTAGCATTATGTACAATAAACGCATTCATTTTAACTTTCATGATGAAACCCTGTGATTCTATTTTGAAAAAAAAATTAAGTAGGGGAAGTTTAATTCGATTTAATTACTGGAACTTTGAGCGGCTAACAAATATCACTCACAAAAAGCTGTAGATATCTATATTTTTTACCTATGGTATCATAGTTTTCATTAAATTCAATGAGTGTGAGCCAAGAAAAATTTATATTACATAGGCATTGACCTGAAACATTTTTATGGTAGTTATTATTCAGCAATGAAATACCTTGTATTTAATGTTGGACGAAAAAGAATAGATATATGAACCAAATACTGATTAAACTATTAGCAAATGACACTGAATATCTCAGGATTGCAGGATAATGGTTAATTTCTGATGAATACGAAGAATTTAAATGGGAGAATTCTTGAAGCCGAAGTCAGCAAAGTCGGATGGGTGCTGTCGGGGGCTGGGCTTGCCATAGTCAGGATGCCCGGGTAACTGACGCGTTCTGGACACGTACACCCGCCACCCACTGCCCGTCGTCCAGTCCTGCCAGAGGTACGAGGATTAGAAATGGCTCTGCCAGAGGTACGAGGATTAGAAATGGCTCTGCCAGAGGTACAATAATTAGAAGAATGGCTCTGCCAGAGGTACGATGATAAGAAGAATAGCACTGCCCGAGATACAATGATTAGAAGAATGGCACTGCCTGAGGTACGAGGATTAGAAGAATGGCACTGCCTGAGGTACGAGGATTAGAAGAATGGC